GGTTTTTACTCTCTCTCTCTCTCTCTCAATATCCCTCACACTCTCTCACTCACAGTTATCTTTATCTGCTCAATGCCTATATGATTTGAAAATAAATAAAAATGTTTTTTGGTTTTTGTATTTACGTCATCTATATCAATTTCTCCCATTCTCTCTACCCATCGTTCCCCCTCAATCTCTCTCATTCTCTTTCTCGGTCGATCTCTCATTCTCTCCTAGTTTCTCTCCTATTCCCTCTCTCGTTTTTTATTTTCTTACACACTTATATAGTATTAATTAGATCGTATAAAATAATATGAGACCAACTTGGTATGGTTAAAAAATTATTACACCAACTTGATAAAAGTTCATAAGAAGCTCTTGACTATGAAATTTATACCAATTGGAGAACGATAGAGATTGAGGGAGAAGGAGATATTGACTGAGAGGGGGAGTGAGGGAGAAGAATGATAAAGATTGAGGGAGAACAATATAGAAAAAGAGGGGGGTTTTGATTTGGCTACAGATCGAAGTTGAGAGAGTGGGAGAGACAGGGGGAGCGGGAGATCGAGAGATGACTGTGAGAGTGAGAGAGAAGGGAGGGAGTGGGAGAGAAACTGAAAACCTATTTTCGGTATAGGTTTTTTGTTGTGTCCAATATGGACTAAGAGTCCCACGTTGGCAACAACCACATAAGCCTCCGATGACATGGTGGGGGTTTTTTAAATTCGAAATATAGATCCGGTTGTTAGAGTTTTGTTGGTTTCTGGATCAACCTGCAACCTAATTTTAAATGTATAACCGAATTTGAATATAATTTTTTCTTTAAATTATATATTTCATTTACATTATATAAAATATTTTTTACTTATCGAACTTAATTTTTGTTTGTCTATGGTATCATTCGAATCAAACCACTAACCCACCATCTAAAAATGAAAATTGTTTGATTTCTATGTTGATGTTAAATTTTGTATTACATCTCCATCGTTGATAAAATTATTGTTTATGTATAAAAATTAATTTTATTCAATATAATGAATGCACAATATTAGAGATGTGCCTAATATTTTATTTTTTTATAAATATATAGCATTAGACATGAGCCCAAAATTTTCTCTATCTTTTTTTTTTTTTTATTTTTGTGATTCTTTGTATTTTCTACTATTAAAAATTTTATTATTTGACTATGACATCATTTCCTTTCTAGGTAGATTTTGAATTTGGCATTCCATTTTTATCATTAATAAAAATATTTTTTACATTTCACTTTTATTTATTTTAATTTTTTATTATTTAATTATGACATTATTTATTAATCCATTTAACCCCAAATGGTTGAATTGCTTACCCAATTACAATAATTTAATGATGAGAAAAATATATCTTAAATATAGGATTTAATGATAGAGAATAGGAAAATATTTTTATTTTCAATTGGTTTTAAATTTTACATTCCATTTCCATCGTTAATAAAAACCTTTCTTATTTATCATACTTATTATTGTTTAAAAATGTTCCCAATTTTTTTTTTAATTTATTATTTAATCGTGGCTACATGGATTAATCCATTTGACCCAAAATGATTTAATTTCTTACCACTACCTAGATGAAAACACTATTTTTTGCTAGGTAGATTTTAAAAGCATAAGCTTTTATGTTATTAGAATTATTAATTTATTAAGTATGGATTTAATTAATAGAACTTAATGATGAGGAGAAACAAAAATAAATTAAATATGTGATTCAATGAACATGAGTGCAAGTTAATAACTTAAATGTTGGATTTATTGAGAGAGAATTGAATGCATTGAATATCTTTAAATTACCTCTTTTCAATTCATTTAATATCAAGAACCGATTACCCTATTTGCCCTCATTTTTTATCAATAAATTAAATATAGAGGGGTAAATTTTTTTCCTTAGAAAATTCCAAAAATATTTTTGAGGCCATTCGTGCTTTTTAAAATAGTATAGATTTAGGCTCAATTTGGAAAAAGTACAAATATAAATTTATAGAATATAAAATCTTGTATTTTGTATGTATTTACACCGTACATATTTGTATTTGTACGCTTAACTGAGCCTTAAAGACAAATTTAATATTATAAAAACCTTTGGAGTGAACTACTAATAGTTTTAAATAGTGCAATAACATAGGTCATATTTTTGTTATTTGGGGCCAACCAATAAGATAGTTATAAATTGATTTTAAAATTGGGTTTCCCGTTAAGGGCAACCTTTTGCCCTTAATATCAATAAAAATATATTTTTTATATAATAACCGAAATAAGATACATTTTTTTGAAAAATATCAAATAAGGGCATTCGTCTTCCTTAGTAAACTTGCGTTGAGCGAGTGACGTTTGCCATCGATAACTTATGGCGAACCCTTCTCTGTTAATGTTTATAGAGAATCTACAAATCACTTTGTCTTTGCCCTCAAATAAGCCATGAATTCGTCTTGCTCGTCATGGCGAACCCTTCTCTGTTAACGTTTATAGAGAATCCGCAAATCACTCTGTCTTTGTCCTCAAATAAGCCACCAGTTTGTCTTGTTCGTCATGGCGAACCTAACCCTTTATAGAGCTCAGTGAAAGCTCCTCTGATCATTTTCTCGACATGATGTAGCTTTTTTTTATTGATATTTAACTTATTATTTCCTTCTGGTCCACCTTTCTTAGACTGGTTAATAAAATCATCCCAAACTAAGTAAGTGATCGCTGAGTACGACTAGGCGTCGTTAGTGGGATGTTTATCTTCACATTCTTTCCTTGGAAATTGATCACATGACTTGAAAGGATTCTCATCTTTCTTTCTTCCTCTCTTTTTCATCCTAATTGATTTTCCAATCTCATTTGATCTTGGAGATTCTGAGAATTGCACTTCATTTTTTTTCAAACTCAGCCATGGAGTTGTCTTGAAGATGTTCCTACTCTGTCATGTCCTTAACAGACTCACAATCTTCAGTCAAGAGATAGAAAAGACAAGAGATTAGACAATGCATGAATGCAATAAGCCCATGGATGTACAGAGTTTGAATTTGAAATATATATATATATATATATATAACATACCACAGGAGATTGTGCATGAGATGGAGGGATCCTCTTTCGAGTCTTCAGCAGAGTTTTCTTTTTTTCTTTATTGTTTGCATGGTTTAAAGTATCGATACGATACACTCTGTATCAGGCGTATCATATCATATCTTTTGAAAAAGGTACGCTTCGAAACACCCCAACTTTTTTTAATTAAAAAAAAACTATTTTTAGCTTCCCAAAAAAACCAAAATTAAAAAAAAAAATTAAAAAAAAAGAGTTTTGTGTGTTTCTAAGTACCAATACAGTACTGCCGATACGCATATCGTATCGATACTTTGAACATTGGTTGTTTGAGCACAGCTTTGAGCTCAACGAGAATTTCCATCTGTTTCTTCAGTGACTCTCCTCTCTTCATGAATTGTAGACCATTGTCGGAGGACTTACATAGAGGCAGAGGGAGACTATCAACAGTGACATTGCCCTTATTTGATATTTTCCCCAAAAAAGGCACCCTGTTTCAGTTATTATATAAAAATAATATTCTTTTTTAATATTAAATGCAAAAAATTGCCCTTATCTGCCATTAACCCTTCAAAATTTCACGACTAAATATTCTGACAGCCATCTTAGAAACGTGCTTTGAATCATTTAAAGGGTAGGCTGGGGGTACTTCTGGACAGTGATCAGTGTATCCGCCGACTGAAATTTCAGATATCTTCTATGTAGCAATTCCATTAACAACTTAATCGAGTCAAGAGCCAAATGGCTAGGAGTCTAGATCCGCCAATGTGCTACCATGGGGTTAGAAGTTCCTTTGCTGCACAATTACAATATCTTTGTGCACAAATTATTTTACACTTCCGGAACTGTACAATGATGATTATTACATCACCAAAACAAACTTTTAAGGCTGCATTTGGAAACAATACAAATGGAGTGTAAATCCCAGTTTAGGGTAAATTTGCACTGTGTTTTACTTTTGCCTGTGTTTGGCAGCATTGTATATTTATGCACTGACAAATGAAAGAAAACACATTTTCCAATACATATTTACATTGATAATAAGATGTAAAAGTACATCAATAAAAAAGAAATAAATTTGCATTCAAGTGGACTTTTGATAAAGAAAGGCAAATGCTTTTTTGGAATTCATTTTTGCATCCATTACAACTAAATCTATTTGGTAAGAAGGTAAATTTGTCCATGCAAAACTAATTCAACTTTGCAATTTAGACTGTGTTTGGAAATGATGCAAATAAGTGGGAATGCAAATATGTAGAGTGTAAAATGGTTCATATAAATTACAAAATTGGACTAGTTTTGCACTGACAAATTTACCTTCTTAACAAACAGACTTGAACTGTAATGGATGCAAACATGAGTCTCAATAAAGCATATGCTCTTTTTTTTTTTTATCAAAGCCTACTTGAATGCAAATTTACTTCTTTTTTTATTGATGTACTTTTACATCTTATTATCAATGTAAATATGCATTGGTCTGTCATTTGTCAATGCATAAATGTAATGTTGCCAAATACAAGCAAAAGTGAACCAGAGTACAAATTTACCCTGAACCGGGATTTACACTCCATTTGCATCGTTTCTAAACACAGCCTTATATGGACCATTTTACACTCTACATATTTGCATTCACACTTATTTGCATCATTTCCAAACACAGCCTAAGCAATTTCTGCCCCACAAAGCTCAGCAAGAGTGAACGAAAAGAACAGTCGCCTCTCAATTTTGCCACGAGGCCTAGACCCATACGTGCTCCAAACTATTTGCCTTCATGTGTTGATCTCTCTCCTCCCAAATGCACCAACACATTGCAAATCCTGATGACCGTAGGCAGTGGCCTATCCTGGCCTTAAAGTGGATAACATACAGCATTTTATTGGAACTAACGTGGGCTTATATTCTATCCAAAACTTAATGGAAAATCTGTTTCAAGGGGCCAACAGTTTATATGTCCTCTCGTTAGATCCTTCAAGTAAAACTCTTTAAATTTCACTCATTAAAAATCATAATTTTCATTAATCAAATATCAACCTTGAAACCTATAGAATCAGTCTCAGGCGACAAAATCTAAACTATGAAAAAATTTTTGCATGGTCAATAAGCACTAAGAAGATACTGACCATGCCAACAAAAAAAAAAAAGGAAAGGAATAAAACCCCGTACATTCATTGTTAAAATTGGATAGCAAGGCATCTTAGATGTTCCATGATAGCTCGAATACGATCAGAGATGGTAGTGTAGAGCCATCTCTGTGCTGGCTCATCAAGTCCATGAGGAGAAGTCATAGGCCATCCAGAGCTGCGGAATGACATATCTCTAGACACGGACATGGCCATCTGCCTCAATTTAGGAAGGTCAAAATCTATTGGCTCACCTACAACTATTTTAATGTCTTTATTGCAGAGAGGGAATGGCGGCCTTCTTCCAAAGAAAGACTTCTCAGGCATCACCTGAAGACACAAGGAAAGAGACGGTAATGAGAAAAGCAACAACAATACTGAAAAGAAGAGGAATTGATTCAAATTTAAGTCAAGGGTACATTTAGAACAAGTTTACATTCGTTTTTTTTTGGGAAATGAAGATTACATTAGTAGGTAGAATGTGCAATTCACATGGACAAAGCAAAGGCAACTGATTTTTTTGTTCTGTTTTCGTTCTTATAACCAAACTCCCAAAGACCTGACAAATGCTAGTTATGGAGATTACACAAAGAGGATTTGTTTTATGAGTAGAATTAGAAATGAAAAAGAACAAAGAAAAGAAACAGGAAAGGTCATTTTTCCTGTGAAAGTTTCAAGGCTACTCATGGTTAAGCGTTTCATAAATAATAGTGATTTATTTAACTATAACATACTAGAAAGGTTAAAAATAGCAATGCAAAGCTTGTGCCGATTCAGAACAAAATACTCAATAGAAGTATTATTCAAATTGGACCTGGTCATTACTTGGTTTACAATGGCATTAACCTGGTTCTAAAAAAGTTGAAGAAATTGATGGAATAGAATTATCATCAAAGATCAAGTACTGTAATATTGATAAAGGTGGCGTTTCATAAACCTGAAGTCTGATGTCTGAAAAGTCTTATTCAGGTCTGAAAATCTGAAAAAAAAAAGTAGAAATGATTTTCTACTTTTTAAGGGCTTTGAAAGGATAAGATTGTTTGAGTTGGAGCAATTCTCCAACATCTGAAACTGTGAAGTGAAATATTTTACCACTGGAAATAGACTGTTTGATAATATTATAAATAATAAAAATATTATAATTATTATTATTAAATAAATACTATCACTTATTCTTTATCAGAAACAGAAAAATTCTTTTATAAATTTAGGAAGAAAATTTACAATATGAGTGGCCTTGGCTACCCCAAACTCCTAGGACAATACCAGAGCCATATTCTTACAGTTACATGTGAGCCCAAAAACAATTCCCTCTATTGACCCCTTGTTTAGCAAAATAATTAGCTGGACTGTAGCTGATCTAGGTAATCACTGCACAATAAATATTATCGCTTATTTAAATAAAAATAATACTATTTATTATTTAATTCATAAAAAATATTTAATAATAGATGGTAGTAATGAGGGCATTAACATCATTTCATCACCACTAAAATGTGTTTGATTCTACTAAGACACGAGATCAGGTCTTACCATTTCAGATGTCTTTTCTCTTATTAGACGTTAGAAGTAAACATGATCACAAACACCCCTTACCTCTGAAAAGCAAGTTCTGAAAGTGGTATCAAATGCCACCTAACTCAGGTCTTGAAAAAAATTTAACCATGTGAAGAACTCAAGGCTCCATTTGGTTGCTAAGGTCCTGTTTGGCATCACTCCAAAGAATCAGTTCTGGTCATTCTCACGAGAAGACATTTGGTTGTGCAATTTTCAAAAATCTGATTCTACTCAGAATAGAAAACACACCCAAAGGCCCATTTTTTAGAAGTAAAAAAAATCCAACTTTTGAGAATTCAATTCTCACGACGCAACGATTCTCGCTACATTCTTTTAAGTAAAATAAACACATATACTTATGGCACACATGAAAGCAAGGTGAAATTGGTAATTTCACAAAAAGATGAAAACACCCAAAACCCTTATGTCTGATCACATTGCTAGTTTTTCATTCCGTAACTGGTTTCATACCAGTTTGCCCAACATTGTTTTGCTCTTGAAAGACCCCAAAGGCCCAAACCCTTTGTGTCACTAAATTATGTTACAGTTGAGTTCAATGCCTGTGACTAGGGGTGGACATACATACATATAAAATAATATATAACACATATAAAAACAATATATATAATACACATACAACTATATAAATAAAAATTAAAATATTATATATAATAAAAATACTAATATTTTTATTTTTTATGTATAATGATAGCTAGTTTTTATAATCCTTAAGTTTTTATCTGTAAAATAACAAAATATGTATACTTTTTTACTTTTATAAGAAATTTAGCTCCTAGTCAAGCTTGAACTTGCGAGCTTTTGAGTCAATCCAAATTCAAGCTCAAGCCTCATAGTATTCTGGCAAGCTGAGCTCGAATGGCCAGATATTCGGCTCGGCTCATCTCAAATACACCCCTACCTGTGAGTGATGAAAACCAGTCTAACAGCCATTGCTGGTAAGAAATACACGTTTAGAGTTTATCCCCATTGGACTATTGTGATGGTGAGAACCGGGTTAGCAATTGTCAATCATTGGCAACATTGTTTCTCATAGATGTTTTTTTATCCCCGTCTATCCTTTGTTTTAATCACAAACAACAAAGCAAAGAAAGAAAAAAAAAATGAAGAGGCCAGAGAAAGGAAGAAGAAGAAGAGAGAGAGAGAGAGAGAGAGGGATGGTGGAATGATCAGACTATTTTAGCTTGGTTGAGTTGCAGAAAAATAGAGGAGAAAATAGGAAGTGCCAAATGCCTACAATGTTTTTCGGAATATGAAAAATCCAAAATTCATCTTTTCTGGAAAATTCTGGGAATGAGAATTTTCCAGAATTGATGCCAAATGAGACCCAAGTAACTAACTCTGTGTTTGGTTTAAAAGAAAAGGTAGGGAAACCTGTACAAAATGTGAAGCAGAAAATTTCTAGCATACAACAATAGGCTTGAGGCACAAGTCTAAGAAGCAAATAAGAGGAGAAAATAGAAGAGGAAGCAAGAATAACTTCTATGGCTGTTGACTATGGTAGAAATAGAAAAAATTGAGTTCTGCTCTCTGCAAGACCTGTTGTCATTCTTTTATAGAGCCAAATTAGCATTCCCTACTTGGACTCTTAAGTCCTACTTGTATTTAAACTTCAGAAGAGGTAGAAACTTCCTAAATACCAAGTCATTTTTTACTATAAATAGTAATTATGACAATTATTATAAATAACAACGAGAGAAATTTAGTTGGGATATGGCATGGATGATGATGATGGTGATGAACAATGAGAGGAATTACTATAAATGCCAATGCGGTCCAGTTATCAATCTGTGATAGACTAAATACAAAGATATTAATTATTATACCATAAAATTCCCTATATACCTCCACCCCAAGCTGCAGGTGTATATAAAAAACAAGACATCAATTTATATTATCAAGCCAAAACAGAACTGTAATAGGCTGAATACAAAGATTTTAATCTCCATTTTTGTTATCCATTTTTTACCTAATCACAAACTAAAAATGTGAATGAAGTCTTTTTTTTTTATATGTAAATGAAGTCAACCTTCAAGATGGACACTCTTTCTAGAATTAGAAATAATACACAATCCAGAGAGAACAAAAAATAGTTGAATTGCCAATCCCTTTCCTGCTGCAAATGCACCAAGCTCACTATCTTGAAACAATAATCTGAAGGATGCCTAAGATTTGATCTACTAACCAATCATGGAAATCAGAATTTGTTGGGGTTCATCAGAGGCAGAAAACAAAGTACTGGTCCTATTGGACTCCCAAGAGTGATTGCCAATATAATGAACCAGCATCTAAAAGAGAACTGAGCAGACTATGAACACTGATACCTTTTCAAAACCATGATGCACAATTGGCAAAACTATTGGTGTTACTGGTGCACGTTCAATAAGGCTGGCAGTTCCCCATTTTAACCGCCTGATAGGCTTATCTTCTTGTGACACTTTTCCTTCTGGAAATGTATGCAACTGCTCCTTGGAGACAACAAAAAGCTTGAGGACTTCACTATCATAAAACCAAAGTTCTAGAATAATCAATAGTGGAACCTATCCAATCATGCATTGCTTAATAATAGTTTATCAACTGCGTAGAGGTATTTGCATAGACAATTCCATGATGGGACTCATTAAGCATCTAATATATGATTACTTGAGCTGGTGAAAGATATGCATGGATAAAGGTCTAGAGATCTTGGAGAGAGAGTTCATCTACTAGACCCACAAATGATATTTGACCACCCACAATCTGATACAAGTGGCAATGAAGAGGCAGCATGGATCCACCATAGATTGCAACCATTTGATAAAATTCACCCAGTAGGTTTGCTATCTTGACATTTATTTGCACATGAGATCCATAAAGTAGGTCAAATCAAAGGCCCACAAGTACCACATTGAAAGGGTCTGGCAGACAGCTACCTTTGATTCCCTTGCAAGAAAACAATATTCCATATTGAAAGGTGTAAAAATCACAGGATAAGAATGTACCCAGGCGCCATCACTCAAGCGATCAAGAGCTTCATTCATGTGTTCCTGATAAATTCCTGCACCCCTTCTTATGGGTATGCATTTTCCTGTGCAGTTTACTACCACCTCAGAGATTCATTTCTCATATAAGACAACTTAATGAACATCAATTTACTGAAACATAATGAACAAAAGTTCCAGATCAATGCAAATATTCAGAACTTATATCTGTTAAGGTCCATTAGGTAAGATGGGCAAAATGTCCTGGAAATTTTAATTCATGCAAATTAATTGTCGCACTTAACAAGGCAGAATATGAATACCATTAAAACAGAGATCTCATCAATGAGAAGCATAATTAACATAACTAAAGCACCCTTTATCTAATAAAAAACTCATAGGCAAGGAGTTAAAAAGAATCAACATGGCCACTGTATTACAGAACTAGCACTGTATAATGTGATTATCTCCTATATATAATACTTCAGAGGTGTCTTGAAGCCCTCCCGAATTGAATCAGTTTAAGATGAACATTGACAGATGTTCTCCCTACCAACACCCAGAAGGTGGTGGTTGAATACTCAGGTCCAATTGGCTCTTCTGAATTTTTCTTATTGAGCATTGACGCTTGTGAATTTCACAAAGGAGAGGCACTTTACCTTCTCTGAAGTCTAAAGTGTCAAGAAACTTAAATTTACATAACTCTTGATTCATGGGGGGTTCTTTTTTGGGTCTTTTCCTTGGTCTTTGCTCGAAACTGGTTGGGTGAATCTTTATGTTTGTAAGTTGTGTGGTTTTTGGGTTTTATTATGGGGACATTGAGGTCTGGTTGCCGGATCCTTTGGTTGTGCATTTTCTTTGGGTGCTGTCTTATCACCTTTCTGTTGTATTTCTTTTTCTTTTTAATGAAATTTTATTTTTACTCTTCAAAAAAAAAAAGTTTTTGGGACCTTTAGGGTTGGGAGACTCACTAAAGGCTGAATTGATGGCATTGTTGCAAGGCTTAAGACTTGCTAAGAAATCAAACTTCCAACAGTTGGAAGTACAAGGAGAGTCAAAACGGGTTGTTTCTTGGGCCAGTAGTAAGCATCTTGTGCCATGGATTTATAGGCATGCTTTCACGTAAATAGAGAGCCTGTCAAAGGAGTTGATCATTACTTTTAATTGGGTAAGAAGGACTGCAAATGATTGATCAAAAAAAGAGTGCAAATGGGATGGCTGATACTTAAGCAAAACAGGGGGTCTATAGACAGCAGTTGTTTTGGACACTATTGTATCAGTGTAACTTTGTTTGGGGTTTGGGTTTGGTTAATGTCTACAGTCGTTCTGGGTGGCTGGAGCCCAATCTGATGTATTAACTATTGACCTGTTTTCACCAATTAATGTATTTAATAAGATTTTTCTTGCAGATCAAAAAATAAATGTTAATTTATAGGTTTTATATGGACCTTAGATCTAAAAAAAATCTGTAAATAGTATTTATTGTATGCGAGTAGGCAGGCAAAGACATTTCAGATATTACAGAATTTAGACTTTTATCAAACAAACATATTTGATATACAATCAGAGAGGAAAATATGCAAAATAGACCATTTCCAGAGTTGACAACATTCAAATATTCAGATACTTCAATACAATTCAGAGGTACAGAGAAGTAGAAATGTATATTCTGCCATTCAGAGTACAAAAACTTTTTTTTCATTTCAGAGATCAGCGTTAGATGTAACAAACAGCACCTAAGACTTTCTAGGCTCCAAGGAAGGGGGAATGATTTGTAAGGTATGAAATCAACAAATAAAAATTGTACAACAGAGCAAGAGAATCAATACCAAGACGGAAGAAATACGTAAGAACCACATTTTTGAAGCATATGTCTTCAGCTGCCAGTACCCATCGTGCCAGTTTTGCATCTGCCGACGGGAATTCCTTGAACCCCCACATAAGAGGATCATCCAATCTGTTACACCCATTATGATTAAGAAGAGGTCTAGAAAATGGTTGCCACAGGGATGCATCCAAATGCAAGTAGATGCTCAATGGTCAAGATATTGGATATTACAATAGTTCTTAGTTAAGCATTAATTTTGAGGACTCACAACGCGCAACTAACTAATATAAACACATGTTGAAATGCCATTAATAAAAACTCCATTGCTTCACACAAAGAATTTCACATTTCTAATAGCAAACGATGCATGTTCGAAGGACTTGTGTAGGGAATCCCTCCAAAGGAGAATATCTTTATGGACCCTTTCATTCTATAGGTGCATCCAGTTCAAGACCATTTTCTGTTGATTCTCCATTTGCAAGTCTCCTGTGACTGTCTCAGGTATTTGGAACCAATACTTTTCCTTGCTTAGTGCCGGATGGGTGAAGCCATTAGAGATGGAACAATTATTCAGTTTTCAATCTTCCCTCCCCACCTCCTGGGAAAAAAATACTAAGAGGGAAAAAAGTGTAGAGATGCACAAGAGCTGCTAGTCAATGGTTCGTCTGGGAACAAAGCAATGCAATTTGCAGCAAGGAGAAATCAATTGAAGCAGTTGACTTGGTTATGGTGAGCATAGCACTAGAAGAAATAATGATAAAATAAGGGTCTTCACCACTGATGACATCATTATAAACTGGTAAAATTTGGCTTCTGTAGAGAGAAATTTCAATATGAGCTTGTAAACATTCCTCACTAGACTGGTGGACCTAAAATTCTGAGGGTGAGAAGCATATGGCCTCTTAGGAATAAAAGATATAAAGGCATTGGCATCAATGCTAATGATCCCTCCTTCATGGAATCCTAACATCACCTAACAAAAATCCCTTTTAATAAGTCAATAAATATGCAAAATAGCAAAATAGCCTTCAGAATCTTTTCTTCTGTTATTCAAAAGGCCTTTCTAGTAAGTCAATAAATATGCAATGTTTGTTAAAAGGCAACGCCAATCTAGACCTTCACATGTGGTCCAGGGGGCAGTGAAACTCCATTGATCACTTTGAAATGCTTGACAATAGCATTAGACATGCCAAAAGGCAAAGTAGTTTCCAACCCATCTATCACAAGCCTAAAAAGGATTTTTTTTTTCAGTTCTTCCCATTAGCCAAAGAATGAAAAGAATTGGAGTTTTTTATCATCCTCCTTGATTCATCTGCATCTTGAATTTTGCCTCCAACAAGTTTCCTCCCTCCCTCTTCAATATGGCATCAAGGTCAAACCTCTCCATATCATTAGTAGATAAATTTCTTGTATCCTTAGTGATCCAAGATCTCAACTTTTTTGATAGTAAACACTACAATAGCCTTGTATTCCCCCATCTCATCCTTTTTATCAGCAGCCATATCAACCATTTACAAAAAACATAACCACCTCAAACCACTTGATCCCCAGAAAAGAAAAGCACAAAATCATGTTTTCCTGACAACACCATACTCAAAGAATCCTCCATCAACATTGTGCATCAAAACAGCAAAGCACCCGGTCTCCACACCAAATTCAAAATATCTAAAACAGTTCAAACTATATTACAAGTTTCTTACCTCTACCACCATGACTTCACCCCCTAATGTTTTTTGTGAACCTCTAGGCTCTAGCCACTTTAGATGCCATTATCATATCTAACAAACTATCCAAAGCAGCCTTCTCCCTGCCTCTTTCCCTAGCCTTTAATGTAACCTCCCTATTGGCATACTTAAAATTGCAATCTTCTTTGTGAGCCTCCTCCTTCGCTCTAGAATTTCCACTCTCTATATGCTTCTGACATATTTCAAATTTTTACAGCCATCTAAAAGGTGGCTTCTACAGCTTCCTTACCTCCCAATAAGAACAACTTGTTAGCCACTTGAGCCTCCAAAGGGACCACTATCTCTAAGGGAATAGACCTACTCATCTAGTGGATTTCATGAATAGAGATTAGAATCTAACCTCTTTATTTCCACAATTATTCCTAAAATTTCACAAGATTTCTGGAACAAAGATCATACCTGATGAGAGGAAGGAAGGACAGAAGAATGGCATGAATAGATTTCCAAGGAAAAGCTCTTGTAGCCCCAATTGATAATCCCGCATCCCATCCTTCAATCGCTTGCTCATGAATACTTAAAATTACTTTAACCCAGAACTTGTCCCTTTCCACTAGCATTCTCCATAACCATTTACCCAATAAAGCCTCTTCTTTTAAAAGTAACCCAATCCTAACCCACCATCACTCTTGGTTTTTGTCACAACCGCCCACCTAACTCTATGATCCCTTTTTTCCTCCCCCTCCCTCATTAATTTCTCCAAATCCCTACACACTCCCTCAGGAATCTTAAAGACCAGCAAGAAGTAAACAAGCAAATTAGCCAACGTTGATTTAATTAGTGTTATCCTGCCACCCATGGAGAGTTAATTCTTTTTCCACAAGGCTAATCTCTTTGTGAATCTACCGACCACTGTGTTCCAAAAACTCCTTTTACTCAGGTTGTCCCCTAGAGGTAGAGACCCAAATAACTCAATGGTCAATGAGCAATCACACAACCCAATATTTGTGCCCTTTCTTCCACCTCTCTATCACTCAAGTTGATGCGAGCCACACAACCTTGTCAAAGTTGACTTTGAGGCTTGTCATTTGTTCAAACGCATTAACCGCCAATTTCAAGTTACTAACCCACCTGATCTCATCCCCTCCACAAAACAATATGGTATCATCAGCAAACTATAGATGGGTAACTGGAACCAAGGTTTAAAATATCGTAACGTATCGGGCCGTATCAGCCGATACGTACCGTTCCAATAAGAAACCGATACACGGAACGTGTAAAAAACATGTGTTATGTTTCTTTTCGTATGTATCGGCCAATACGGGCCCGTGTCGGGCTGTTTCAGATCTGTATCAGTCGACACTAACCTGAAATAGGCTGATACGAACCGAAATGTCTCGGTTCCCCTTGTTCCATTAATTTCATTAGTTTATATTTAATACCAAACCTCTCTCGTTAATGTCGGTTATTACTCCTATATTTAAGTCTTAACTTCTTCATTAATTAGTTAATTACTCCTATATTTAAGGCAATTTTAAATTTAAATTTGAATTTTAGCACCTAATTACAATTCTCTCATTAATTAATGATTCTCTCTCATTAATTTCGTTTCATTAGTGTATAAATTACAAGTATTAACAATAGCAAGACTTGAACCTTGGTCATTTGATTTTTTCTTTTTATGAGTAAAGAGAAAACATTCATTAATAGAGTTAATGCAATTACAAGCTTCCCATGGAGAGGCACGAGCTGTGTCCTCTCCTAATAGCAGGAAGAAAGACAAAGGAAAATAGATAACAGAAAACAGAAAACAGGAAGCAGATTCAATCTACAATTGAGCCCAATATAAACTTTCCCTGTTTACCCCTTGCTTTGCAAGGCCATCATCCATAAAGTTTGCAGATCTCCCCACCCATTGTATTCTCACTGTCAAGCTCCTTGTCAAGCAGTTGAATTTTTTAATTTCATTCTTAAAACACCACACTATAGAGTCCGGGTTTTGTAGCCATCCCACTACCACCTTGGAGTCCCCTTCTATTATCAGATGTTCCACACCTATCTGCACAGCTAGCTATACTCCTTGGATAGCAGCTGCAAGTTCCGCCCTACTGGAGTTTCCAACTCCTATTGGCCTCGAGTAGATAAGAACCACATTCCCAGCCTCATTCCTAAGTACCCCTCCCACCCCTGACGGACCTAGATTACCAAGACTACTTTCATCGAAGTTCAACTTCAAAAAATTCTCAGGAGGAGGTTCCCAAGTCAGACTCACTTTAGTCTTTCTAGATGAACAATTAGCCACTGCTAACCAATTCCTCCAAATATCACTAAATGAGAAA